GGGGAGCTGCCCCACTCAAGCAGGCAGCAGGGGGGAGCAGGGGCAGGGGGCTGCGGACCTGGGTCCATAGCCCTGGCAGCTAGGGGCCTTGTCCTGCAGGGCTGGGACATCAGAGGCTGTGGGTGGGGGGCAAGGGGCACCAGCAAGGCTGTGAGGGATTTGGGGGAGAGTGAGGGGCTGTAGCTGGTGAGTGAGGGGCACCAGTAGGACTGGGGGGCTGAGTAGGGGAATGAAGGCCACCAGTACGGCTGGGGGGCTGATGTGGGGAATGAGGGGCACAAGTAGGGCTGGAGGGGCTGGGGGGTGAGTGAGGGGTACCAGTAGGGCTAGGGGGATGTTGGGGAGTGGGGGGCACCAGTAGGGCTGGGGGGCTATGCAGGGAATGAAGGGCAGCAGTAGGGCTGAGGGGCGGTTGTGTTTGGAATGAGGGGCACAAGCAGGGTCAGGGGGGATGGGGTGAGTGAGGGGCATCAGTAGGAATTGGGAGCTGTTGTGGAGGAGTGAGAATCACCAGCAGGGCTGGGGGGCTGTTGTGGTGGGAGTGAGGGTCATGAGCAGGGCTGGGGTGCTTTCAGGGGCAGTGAGGGACACCAGCAGGGCTGGGGAGGGGCCTGTGGTGGACCCTTAATTTTAATTACAGATTTGGAGGTTTTTATCAGAGAATTTGCAATTTTTTTATCAGGGAAAACCAGGATCCCTGCTTATCAGTCATCTTCAGAACCACAGATAAGGCAATCATGGAAGACAATCATCCTCAACTGCAAGGGACTGCGAAGGATGAAGCTGGGGCCAGTCACAAAAAATGCAGTTTTGTATGGCCAAAGGATGATACACCTAAAACAAAGAATGTAGGCTACAGTTAAAGAATGGATGACTATGTTCTAGAAAGCAATTACTGAAAAGGATTTTGGTTCACCATAGACAACAAACTGAACATGAGCCGCCAGTGTGAGGATATTGTAAAATGGACTACTGCAAGGCTTGGGAGTTAAAAACTTGGAGAAGGTATAGAAAAAGAACCATAAACAATTTAGGGTTGTAAAGATTTAGAATGTCTTCACTGTAAACTTGCTTTGCCAGGCAACACCACCCTCAAACAGATTGCACTGTTTTGCATGCCCAACCTTCCAAACCAGAAGCAGAGTACTGCATTTGCAGGGCACTGCAAGTAGGCTGATTATCAGGGATCCTGGTTTTCTGTGTTTCAAAATCCCAAATTCTCTGATTAAAAAAACCAAAATCTGCATTTTTCTGCCATTAAAATGAAACACCACAATATGTATATATGTATGTATCAGTTGAACACAATGTTTTATAGCTATATTTACAATTTTAAAGCAGTTTGGAAGCCTAACAATACCTCAATCATTATAATAAAATGAATTCTAAATACCTGCATATCTTGGTCTTGATTTTGATTTTTTTTTTATTTTGGAAAATCAGAGCTCCCTCTGCCCCCCTTGCTCACCAGGACACAGGTCCAGCTGCAGCTGTCCCACCAGTTACTTTGTGGTGCTGAGCAGCCCTGATATGCCAGTTCCCTGCCCCTGCCTATGCTGTTGCCCCTCACTCCCAAGCCACAGCTTTCTCCAAGCCCTGCTGGTGCCCCTCACTCCCAACCCAGAGTTCTGCGCTCCCCGCCCCCCAGCCATGCTGGTGCCTGTCACTCCCAACCCACAGTCCCCTGTCTCTGCCAGTGACACTCACTCCCAACCCAAAGCCCACCACTACCACGCCCAGGTCTGTTAGTGTCCCTAACTCCAACCTGCAGCCCCCTCCATCTCAGCCCTGCTGGAGAGGGTCCACAGTTTCCCCCCATCCCTCCCAGACCCACACAGACTCACAGAATGGTGGTCTGCAGGGACAAGGCAGGGACAGCCTCCAGCATGAGGTGCATGCAGCACACCTCAAGTGGAAGCACAGGCAATTGCTCAGGCACTACACACTGCTCCACGCCGTGATCTGGGGTACGGTGTAGGGGTAAGGATCAGCCCCATGCTCCACAGTAGCAGCATGAAGGCAAGCACGGCTCTGGCCCAAGCTGTGCCTCAGGCAGCAGGAGAGCAAGGGGCTCCAGGTGGTTGCCATCCTTTCCAGGCCAGAGCATGGTGGCTGAAGCTGCAGCTGTGGCTACAACAGCTCCAGCTCATGTGGGTGGTAGCAGCATGAGTCTAGCCATGCCATGGGCTTAAGGGAGGAGGAGGGGATGCCTATAGTACCTCCCACCCCAGGTTGGAGCTGCCATGCTGCTCCAGGCAGACTGGCCATGGTCAGCTCCCTCCTGCCCCACCCCCTCCCCAGCAGGTAGCATCTCCCAGCTGCCCTGCCTCCTGCTCCTGAGAGCCCTGGCATTGCTGGTCCAGCCATACAGCTTCCCATCACCCCCAAAGGACCCACACCTGCTTTCCGTGCTGGAAGGGCAGGAGCCTCTGGACAGGCCCTGCTAACAACAGCATGGGGCCAGGCTCACCAGCAGCACTGAGCTCATCCTCAGACCCCCCTCTCTGCCACAGCCCCAGCACCTGGACACCTTCTCCCAGTGCCAGTAGGCACTCAACCCCCTCCACACACCTCTGCCACAAACACACACACATATGCCCCACACAGCTCCCCTAGACAGTCTCCAGGCTCTGGCCCTCCAATCCCCACCCCATAGACTTACCTGTATCCAAATGCCAGGGCTGATCCCACCACCCTGCCTGGCTATATGCTGGCCACGGTGCATACACACACATGGCACCTCACGCCTCCAATCACCTTCCCCCCAGCCTCAAGCAGCTACTTGCAAACTGGAAGGCTGCCAGCCTGCAAGGAAAAACCCACAGTTTCCTGCAGCTTTCTCCTTTTATGGGAAAAAATCTGTGATTTTCTCCTTTAAAGGAAAAGAATCTGCATTTCCCTGTGTTTTCCCACAGGAAATGGAAAACCCGGATTCCTGTTGATTTCTTGGCAACTATTGATGACCTGTTCCTGTCACAAGTTGTCTAAGGACCGACTAGGGGGAAGCCACTCTGGACTTAGTGCTTACCAAAGGGGAGGACGTGCTAGAGGACCTGCAGATTGGTGGTACTCTGGGTGACAGTGACCATGATCTGATTAGGTTCATCATCCACTGGAAGGCTAGGATTTCAGTTAGTAGAACAGAAGTCCTAGACTTCAGAAGGGCAGACTTTAACAAACTCAGGAGTCTAGTTAGTAAGGCCCTCTGTGACCAGCAACTGGAGGATTTGGGGGTCCAGGAGCAATGGTGCCTCCTGAAGGGAGCAATCCTCTGCACAAAAAGAGGCCATTCCCATGTGATCAAAAAGCAGGAAGGGATCCAAAATACCTACTTGGCTCAATAGGGAGATCAGAGACCTTTTGAAAGAGGAAAAGGACACATATAGGCAATGGAAGGAAGGATCAGAAACCAGAGAAGAGTTCACTTATATAACCAGGGTTGGCAGGTATGAGATACTGAAAGCCAAGACTGGCATGGAGATCAGGCTACCATCCAAAATTAAGGACAACAAAAAGTCCTTCTACAGGTACATGGGGAGAAGAAAAAAATCGAGCTCCACTGTGGGACCCCTACTGAATTTGGAGGGGCAGTCCACAGTAGATCCTCATGAAAAATCAGAGGTCCTAAATGGCTACTTCGCATCAGTATTCCAGAAGGCTAACAAGAGCACAGCTCTACTAGACAGCCTGGTTCTGTGGGCTGATCAGAATCAGATGAGGTTCAACAGGGAAAAGTGCCGGGTCCTTCATCTGGGTAGGAAGAACCTTCACCATAGCTATAGCTTAGGCAGTAGCCCACTGGCTGGCACAGCATCTGAATGGGACCTGAGGCTCACAATCGACCAGAAGATGAATATGAGCCAGCAGTGCAATGAAATTGGCAGCAGGGCAAATAGGACTCTGACGTGCATCAGCCAATTTGTTGCCATCAGATCCAGAGAGGTGCTCCTCCTCCTCTACTCAGCGTTGGTGAGGCCACAGCTGGAGTACTGTGCCCAGTTTTGGGCACCACACTTCAAGAAGAATGCAGACAAGCCCAAGAGGGTGCAGAGAAGGGCAACCTGCATGACCAGGGGCCTGGAGGATTGGCTTTATGAGGAGAGACTTTGGGAGCTGGGCTTGTTCAGTCTGGGTAAAAGGAGGCTGAGGGGTGACTTGATAGCCGCCTACAAGTATGGCAGGGGGAAGCACCAAGATCTAGGGGAGCAACTTTTCAGGAAGACACCCCTTGAGAAGATGAGGACAAATGGTCACAAGCTAATAGAGGGAAGATTTAGCCTGGATATAAGGAAGAACTTCTCTGTAAGGGCAACCAGAACCTGGAACACACTCCTGGCAGAGGTGGTACGGTTGCCATCCTTGGAGGTGGTCAAGAGGAGGCTGGATAAGCACCACATTGAGCTCATTTTTGCTCATTAACCACCTGCCTATGGCAGGGGAGCAGACTTGATGATCTTCCAGGTCCCTTCTGGTCCACTGATTCTATGAATCTCTCTCTACTGAGAGGCAGAGCCCTGCTACCCAGCTTCTGGCTTAGGGAGTAATGCACGTGGAACAGCATAGCATATTTGAGCATAACCTGCCTAGAATGGCTACATTTGCAGTGTAGTCATGCTCAGTTGGTCACATAGAGGATAAAGATAACTTGATCACAGAATATAAGTACCTTCATGTGAAAAAATGGCCAAATACTAAAGAACTCTAATCTAACAGAGAAAGACAAAACAAATACCAATAATGAAACCGATGCCAGATAAATTTTAAACAGACATCCGGGTGGATGATAATCCACTGTAACTGAGTACTCAGGGTAGGGGTGGATTTTCCACCTTGAATAATGTCTCAATGCCTTTCTTTTGGAATATACACATCAGCCAAAAACAAATTATTTGCTTCCAGACAAGGATAATTAGGTGACATTTAGTGGGTGAAGAGATAAGGGAGGGCCAGTGAGAATATCTCATTGTATGTTCTGACCTTAAACTTTATGAATCTATTAACCTAACTGTATTCCTGTCTCTGCAGGAAATGAGGTGATTGCAGTGGACTGGAAAGGACTGAAAGATGTGGACCAGATCAATATGGACAGCACCAGTTCTCTACATGGAAGCAGCATCCACCGGCCCTCCACTGAGGTGAGTGCCAACCCTGTATCCACAGGGGAGAGGACCAGAAAGTCTCAACCTTATTGAATACATATAACTGGGCTGAAGTTATCGGGCTCACCTAAGAAGGGCACAGAAATCTTAACTGCACTAAAGACTTCCAGACCCAAATTTTCCGGAGTCAAAGATTTGGTTTGTAGCTGGACAACTAAAAGGTGAGCCAAAATTAGGGTCCATTTTTGAAAATTTAGACGAAATGAGATTTCACAAGTAAAAATGTGTCTGACAGCTCATAAATATTTAGAGGAGTGGAAGATGCTCAGACCAAGTCTGGAGATGCTCAGACCAAGTTGGATGCTCAGAGCAAGTCTGATAACCACTGAACTAAAAGCTGAACTACATGAATATTGGTTAAGGTGGGGGACAAAAGCCTACACGACCCTCAGCAAAGGCCTACATCGCTGTGAAGAAATACTTTGGTTTTTTATTTCAATATTTTTCAGATATGTTCTCTTAATCCCTGCTGTTTGGTTGCTATGCACTATCTCCTGTAGTGAGTTACTTCCTGTTTTGCATTATTGCAACCTCTGTAATTTTATAATCTTATTTTTCTGTTCTGTAGGGTCTACTACATGCAATCATGAAACATTTTGTGTTGAATAAAAGGCCACAATTATTTTTTCTGATACCTGTACTACATTACTTCATAAAACACCAACAATTTCACACATTACAAGATACCAGTATATAAGAAGTACATTTTGATACAGAACCTTTACAACAGGGAAGTGTAACTTCCAGAAACTCCTGTTGGGGGAACTCTAGCAAGAACTGCAGGATAAGCTGGGCAGTGCCTGGAATGCTCATGAAAGTCAGGGCAACTCAGCTAAAAGTATTAATATGTATTAGCTACAGAACAGCAAAAACATGTGTGGTTGCTCCAAGAAGATTAATCTACATTGATCTAAGGCCCTCTTACTCCTGAATGAGAGGATCCACACAGGTATTTAACAGACTTTAGCTTATGTGCATTGACTCTTACACCTTTTATTGATTCTCCTTAACTTTCCTAAATGTCCCTCTAGAGAAAGGCACTAACCTAAAGAGTTCTACAATGAGATAGCACTAAAACGCCTGGGAGGAACATTTGTTACTACTTCGTGCAAAGAAAGCTGGCTAATATGGACATATCATGCCATTTCATGAGCAAATGGTTTTGTTATCTGTTAAATAATTATTTACATTCAGATAGTTTCTCTTGCTCCCAACTGAATGAGCCTGAGGCAAGAGCACTTCCTATATAAAGTTTGCACAGTTGTAGTTTTCCCTGAAATAAGAATCTCACAAGCTCATCTTCTGAAAACAACCAAACGTACCAGACTGCACTGTCCAGCTGAGAAACACTATAAATACCCTCTTCTTGCCTTTATCTTGTGTTGTACGTTTTTTGTTTGTTTTCTTCTGTTTTGTTTTATTGTATTTTGTTTTATTTCCTCCTCTGCTTCTATACATCTTTCTAATCCCTAATATAACAAACCATAAACACATACCTGCAGACACCACTATCAGCAGGAGAGAATGAAGCTGGAACCTTCAACACCAGAAGTATAAGCCTCTATTACTTAAGCTAAAGCATAACTTCTCCAACTATGAATAGAAGACTCTTGTATTCTTGCAGGGGTAGGGGAGGTGGTGCTTGAATTAGAGTGGATTCAAGAGCTGCTCTAATTAAAGCACCGCTGTGTCTTGTGTATCAGCGTCCCTGTGCTTAAAAATGGCAGTGGGAAGCGCTTGAACTAAAGCTCATCAAATGAGCTTTAGTTCAAGCACATCCACTGCCATTTTTAAGTGTAGGGATGCTGATACATGAGACGCAGGAAGCTGCTGGAGCATAGTACAATTAATCAAATCTACTCCAATGCACTGGAATTGCAGCATGTCAGAGCAGCCTTGCTGCTCATGTATTGACACCCTCTAGGACAGGGGTGGGCAATTATTTCAGGTGGAGGGTCACTTACTGATTTTTGGCAAGCCATCAAGGGCCACATGACAGACAGCCAGGGGCAGATACATATTCATTTTCTAAATTTTTTAGGGGCCCCCCGCCTGGATAGAATGGCCTGGCAGGCTGCATTTGACCCGCAGGCTGCATTTTGCCTACCCCTGCTCTAGGACCTGCCACTACAGACACATAGTCACACACATTGTACCTCTGTGTTACATTAACACATTGTCTTTCTTCTCTTTTATAGCAAACACGGACAGATTTTTCCTGGGATGGTATCAATGTGAGTACAAGCCCTGCAACTTTTTCTATTTCATGGGTGGCAGCAAAGAAGTATTTGCACTTGCACAGCTGATAGATTAACTGGGCTTGTCAAACTCTCCAGCTGGACTAATGGGTACAATTTCAGAAATGTCTCTGGGGCCTTGAATGACACTGAAATTGTGGGAATTGTTATGTAGTATATGACTTGACAGATTTGGGACTAATATTTTAGGAATTATTTGGATACCAGTGGATTCTGGGTTGTCCAGTTCCTCTATGGAAAGATTTATTTAAATAAATATATATGTAACGCTTCAGCTGGGAACCAGTTAGTAGCAACAAGGGCTAGGTTCAAACTTTGGGGTACCCAATAAGTTTCCACTGTGGCTCAAGTCCCATCTGAGATCGCTGAATTTGGCTGGAGTGTCCTGCATAAACAAAAACCCCTCCTGACAAGCAGTGTAAGCACAAAGGACAGATTTATTACAGAAAACAAAGGCAAGGAAAATAAAGGAAAACATGAAATGCAATTTAAAACACTACCAACTACAAGGCATAGTCTATAGCAGGGATAGGCAACCCCCGACACAGGTGCCAGAGCATGGCAGGCAAAGGCATTTTGCTTGGCACATGAGCCTCAGAGTGGAGGGTGGGGAAGGGCCTGGGGCTGCACTGCCACAACAAGCATCAGGCCTCTTGCAGCTCCCCTGCCATCTGCCCCTGGCATGCCAACATCTTACAAATTGAGGTTCCAGGTGTTTTTGGCACTCTGCCCAAAAACATTGCTGACCCCTGGCTTATAGCCTGTTGGGGAGGCTTCACTCATGTCCAGGCAGTCTGGGACTTGGCATCTCCTCAAAGGGCAGTTTCAGGGGCCTGCACTCCTATACCTGCCCTTCAGCAGCAAACTGGACAGGATGGCCCACGCTGGAGAGTCTTATGATGCTCCTTGAGGTTTACTGCATCTTGGAGAGCTGCTAGTAAGCGAAGATCCTTCTGAAGTGCAAAGGGCCCCTCGTTGCTTCCTGGGAAGCTGTAGGGCACCGATCTCCACCGTGGCTTTGATGAGGTGACTTGGGGCTTTGGTCAACGTACTGCACCCCCAGAATTCCTAGTCCCAATCCCCAGCTCTGCTGGGGCAGAAAACTGCAAAAGAAAGATGGGCCAGCCCATTGTGTGCTTGGACTGGACTAGGTAACAAAATGTGCCAGGCTCCTCACCATGGCCCAAATCATGCCAGGTCTCACCCTGACTCAAACTGTGCCAGGTCTCACCCTGGCCTAAATCTGCCAGCAAAACTGCCAGGCTCCAACCCTGGTCAGCATGCTCCAGGGATTAATATCCCCATGGTATTATCCTACCCAAATTTGCCAGGCCTTTAAATCCTAGCCAAAACTGCCAATAAAGCCTACAGCTGGGGTTCAACCACAGAGCTAGGCTGAAACTAAAAGAAGTTGCAACAGCAGCAGATGTCCCAGGCCCTCAGCTCTGGCCCAAATCATGCCAGGCTTTTAATCCTGGCCCAAATCTGTCAACAAAACTGCCAGGTTTCAACCCTGGTGAGCATGCCCTAGGGCAGCGGTTCTGAACCTTTTTCAGTCGATGTACTCCTTGGTCTTAGAGTAAGGCTTCATGTACCCGCTTTCAATGGGAAATTAATTTTTTTAGGCCCTTCGACCTGTGTTAGACAATGTATGAAATATATCTCATGTACCCCTTGATGAGGCTTCACGTGCTTCACATACCCCCTAGGGGTACATGTACCCCCGGTTCAGAACCTCTGCTGTAGGGATTACTATCCCCATGGTATTATCCTATTCAAAACCCAGGAAAACAAAAAGGGAAAGAAGAGGGAGGGAATAGGGGTCTCAAACCCTGAGACAGTCTTTCTCTCTCTGTACCTGAGGCTTTCCCTTCACATAGCTTCAGCTCACTTCTCGTGTGTGTGCGGGGGGGAGGGGGAGGAATGGCGTTTCTCTAGCTCTTAGTTCAGATTTTCAGCTCTCAGCAGCCCCTGGAGAAAGAGGCCTAAGTCCTAGTTGAGAAATTCCTATATACTTGGTGTGACATCACTTAAGCTTTTCCAGTCAGTGCTTTCCAGGTCTTCAGGTTTTCTTATTAGCCAATTAATTTTAAAAAGAACGCTGCCAATTAGGGTAGGGGTCTGATCTCCCCCTGATTATGTGGCTGACCCCCACCCCTACTCTGCTATTTACAGTAAACAGCAGGGGGTAAGTTCTAAACAAAAGGGACTGTCTGCCTCCAGTATCTGCTTACATGCAGTATCTCTTGCTTCTTTTCCATCTTTCCCAAGCAGGGGAGAGAAAACAAGATACTCAAATACAGAAAACATAATATATACAACACAGCAGAAAAAATATATATGATCATATTTAACTGAAACAATATTCAACAACACACTTTGCAATACAAAATGGCTTGTACATTCTGTGTGGGTTACATATACATAAATAAAATCTGGCCAGTCATAACCAAGGAAGACATAAGGCAGTCTCTTGGCTACAATTGCCGTACTTTGATAGGTGACTAGGATTACCATGTTTCCAGGATCCTGTGGGAGGAGAAGGAGGGGAGGAGTATATGATGGGGAGGCAGTGATATGCCTTTGCCCTGCCTCTGCCCCTCACTCCTAAGCCCCTGCCCCCTCAACCCTGTGAGTGCCCCTCACTCCCAACCCACAGCCCTCCCACCCCCTGTGCACCTCACTCTGCCAATTCCCCTCAGTCCTGATGCACAGGCCTGCCCCCCCGACCCCAGCACTGCTGGTGCCCCTCACTCTGCCGGTGCCCTCGCTCCCAAACCACAGCTCTGTCCCTGCCAGCACTGCTGGTGCCCCTTACTCCCAACCCACAGCCCCTGCTCACCAGCCCTGCTGGTGCCCCTCACTCACAACCTGCGGTGCTTCCCCCCACTACCACTGCTGGTGTCCCTCACTCTGCCAGTTCCCCTCACTCCCAACCTGCAGCCCCTGCCCCCCCAGGACTGCCAGTACCCCTCACTCCTGACCCAGAGATCCCTGTCCCTCCAGCCCTGCTGCCCATGCAGCTCCTGCACATGCACAGATAGCAGACATACACACTCTTGCCGGGGCCCGCACGCAGAGCATGTGACCCCCCGGCAGCCAGTTACCTTGCCCGCTGCTCTGAGCCCCAGGCATCCAAGCTGCTTGTGCCTAGAAGAAGTGGGGGCAAAGCAAAAACCTGGATAATTGCTCGCATTTTAAAAACCCACCTGGACACAAGGACCGGGAGGCCAAAAGAGAGGACATGTCCAAGAAGACCCGGACGTATGGTAATAGATAGGTCTGTACTTTTGCTTGCAGACAAACTCATGCATATGTCTCTCTGCAGTGTCCCAGTGAATAGAGACAAGTGGCTGGATGTGTAATGGATATACTTCATGAGTTAGCATGGTTTTTTCCTTTCCCACAGCCTGTTCATAGCCCAGATCTATCAGCTGCAGCCCTGTTAGGCACATCACAGTAGTCATGTCTAGCAGAGTCAAATGATGGAGTTTGTCTTGAACCCCAGTATCAGTACCATAGATATATTTCAAATTCAGGCATTTGAAACTTGCACAAGATCCCTTTTGCCCTTCACTTGAAAGTATGCCCATGTTTTAACATCTGACCACTGGAGGTTGGTGGGATAAGCATCCTATTGACTTCACTTCTCATTTATGTCTGTGTTATTAGAAAAAAAGGTATATATTAGGGTTTATCTGACTTCAGCATGGGGGAGAGGTATTGTTTCTTTCCCGGGGTCAGGGAAGGTCCTCCTTGTCCAACCTCATATTCACTTCAGTACTAGCTTACTCAAAAGAGAAAAAAATGCAAGTAAAGCCAGTTACTAGGTGTTTCAGTACATTGGGTAGAGCAAGAGGAGTATTTTGGAAAGATGAACATGTTTGCACCAGACTGTAATCAGCAAAATATGTTCCTCTACCATCAATTGGACTATGTTCCTCTCTCTGTTTCTCTCACACATACTCTCTCTCTCCCTCTCTCTTTCTCACACACACACACACACTCTCTCTTCTCCTCCCACACACTGTTTCACTCTCTCTTTCCCTCTTTCCCTCTTTCTCTCTCTCTCTCACACACATTCTTTGAATATCTCTGTTAAATTCCCATTTCATCAAAATACTTCTATGATTTCTATCAAATCTGCTGTGGCCCAAATCTTTGACTCGTGGCTTATTACATTCCCCTTCTTTCCACAGCTATCAGTCTAGAAAGCAGATTCACGTTTTTCTTCCTCTCCACTGCAGTTCTCTGCTCATTCCACAGGCATGAAATGCTTTCTTGCTCCCCGTTCTTCAGGTCACATCATGATTACAGTCCTTAATAAAGACTTACCCCTAACATGAATCTCATTGAAATATGTCAGCAACAGCTCCATTTGTCACACCACAAACAGTTTGCGCATGTGATCTCCATGGTGTAACTAAATGGATCATATGGCACTTAATTTGCTATGTGTAAACCTATTCATTTGCATTCTGCCCACAGATCCACTTCCCTTGGAACGTTTTATAA